GAAATCATAAATTAACTTACCTTGTTATTGGTCATTTGCAAAATTATTTGCAAATGAATTTTGTTAAAAATTTTTCTGATTGTACACACAGGTACTCTGAAGATGATATTAGATGATGTTCGACTTTCTGAAAATATCTATGTGGTTTTTGGAGACTATATCTTCCAACAATCTATTCGATTTCTCATGGGTACCAATCGCGCCACGTTATTAGCAAACCTATTTTTGTATTCATATCAAGCATAATGTGTTCAAAATCTTATACCTGAAAAGAAGTAAACACTTGGCCTTCAACTCGACATTTATTTATATCGACGACGTATTGTCAATTAACAATTTTTATTTCCATTCTTATGTCGTTACAGTATATCCTGCTGAGCTTGAAATTAAATATACCAGAGTGTCTGACTTATCTGTTTCATTTGGGTATTTTATTAGAAAAAGACGTGGTATTCTAAAAACCAAGCTCAATGACAAACGAGATGACTTTCACTTTTCAGTCGTGAACTTCCCAGCATTATACCTTCATCACCTGCATTTTTATATAAATGACACGCAAGAGCATGCTCTATAAAACTATAAGGCATTTTTCATTCAACTTGTTCAACACACAACTTACCTCGATTAATACTTTTTCGAAGATTTTAAATCGAGGTAAGTTATTGACGAACAAGTTGCTGAAACATGAATATTCCAGGTTCGTTTCATTTCGTAGGTTCAATGGTCGATACAATGACCTTGTCAAGAAGTACAATTTATCATTTAGTGAAATGCTGACAGGCGTTTTTCTTACTTATTGTTCGGCCATTATATACCTACTGGGTTGTCGACGGATTTTTTTTTTCAAATGAAACATATGGAGATAGCGAACAGTATTCAAGATCAGTTTTGAAGATCAAAAGTACAAAAACAATACAAAATAGGAGCAGAGCAAACATGGACCTCCAAAATATCAGAGGTGGGATCAGGTGCCATGGAGGAGTGAGCATCCTCTGCCGACTGGTCACATCCATCGTGAGCTCCTAAACATGATCGGAAATAACGGGAAAATCCGGCGTCAATTCAGTGCATAAATAATGGATTAACAATTAGTATGAAAAACGTCGGTTAGCATTTGACTCAATGATAAATTGTATTTGCTGAAAAGGCCATTGTATTGACCATAGAACTTACGAAATGATTTTTTTAAAAAAGACTACTGATATTCTTGTTTCATCAACTTGTTTATTGGAAGTTGGCGATAGAAAAGTTAAAGTCATCACGTTTATCATAGAGCTTGGTTGTTAGATTACCATTAACGTCTTTTTCAAGTAAAATATCTAAATATGAAAAATTCTAAAGACTCTGTGGTATTTCCAAATAACAAGGAGCAAACGGCAAAAAGAGTACAAAAACAATACAAAATAGGAGCAGAGAAAACAAGGACCTTCAAAATATTAGAGGTGGGATCAGGTGCCATGGAAGAGAAAGCATCCTCTACCGACCGGTCACACCCGCCGTGAGCTTCTAAACATGGTCGGAAATAACGGTAAAATCCGTCGTCAATTCAGTGTATAAATAATGGACAAACGATTAGTATAATAAATGTCGGTCAGCATTTGACTCATTCGTCGATGATTTACCTCGATTTATAATTTTTCGAAGATTTTAAATCGAGGTAAGTTATTGACGAACAAGTTGCTGAAACATGAATATTGCAGTTTCGTTTCATTTCGTAAGCTCAATGGTCGATACAATGACGTTATCAAGAGGTACAATTTATCATTTAGTGAAATGCTGACTGGCGTTTTTCATACTTATTGTTTGGCCATTATATACATACTGAATTGTCGACGAATTTTTTTCAAATGAAACATATGGAGATAGCGGATAGTATTCAAGATTAGTATCAAGATCAGTCTTACTTTGGGTATCAACATGTCTGATTTGCATTTTAGAAAATTTAACATTCGCTATGTTGCATACGGTGCTATCAGTGTTTCACAGACACATTTTGTTTTAACCTTGGATTTCAAATGCTTGTTATTACTATTTTATTTTCGGTAAAACATATATATCCTTGTTGTACAAATAGTTCGGTTTGTTTCAGGTACAATGTTTTATGAAAATTTGAAAAAAGACATTGTGTAAATATTTCTTTCCTTTATTCTAGTTCTAGTGGTTATGACAAAAAAATCCTCTTTGGGGCTAGAGGAAGTTTGGAATACTTCCCAGGGTATAAATCTCGGAAACGGAAGTACAGAAACACTTCCGGTAGAAAGCGTGATACTAAATGGCACCTTTAGATCGACATCGGTGGATAACTGGTCTCAGTGACCCGCCAGATCATGTATCACTTTATTAACCTCGACAGACATCTTTATCTACTTTTATTTCTTTTTAATTTTATTTAACGCATGTTATGAAATGAACAGACAGAAGTGGCAAGTGAACAAAATAAATGAATAGATTTGTAATAACAAAAAATGTGTCTCTTATGAATTATAATGCTTGAAAAAATGTATATAACTGGATGATAAGTTTACCTTGTATTTATAAAAGCACGTTTTGTTGATTTTACTACAAATTAAAATTTAGGCTTCCTTGGTGGTGACGAATGCAATTGGCGACACCTTGTGGTGGATGTTTTTAAATACTTCCGGTACCCACAGTCCTTTGTCTTCTTGGATGACAACTTCTAATATTCTCAACAGTTCGGCCAATTCAGTCCCTTCCATTCATGAATCCAGTTTTTACTTCAAGTATAACAAGTTTAATTTGTCTAATTTCTAATTCTAAGTTTAGCAAACTTTTATTAATCTATTATAAAACAGCATGAACATTTATAAAAGTTTACAAAATATGCATTTACAAACAAAAAAGAGAAGCTAATCTCCCCACTTCTTTATTACAGTCATGACCCGTTCGACCTTATTCTGTCCCTCAAATCAAATCCGGATATGGTTTGGCTTTGTATGTATAGAAATTCTTCCTGTTCCGTTTTCCTGTTTACATCTCCACAGATACCCCAGCAACAAAGTTATCTTGGTAAGATTCTCATTTATAAATTACTTTATAAATGTCTGATATTTGCTTTTTAAAAATGCACAATGAGATGCTATAAAAGGCATTTATTCATTCCTGATTCAACACACAAGTACTCAAAAGTTTTTTAGTAAATTAAAATAGAAACAGAGGTTCGTGATAATTTGTTTTATGTCCCGTCAAGAATTTTCCTCTCAAGAACGCCACCACTTGCCGGTGGAAGCTGTAAATTTAGACCTAGATTCGACATCAGGTCCTTTGAGCAGTAAGAGAACTTTTTTTGTGACAGCACCTACTGCGACACGTAAGACGTCTCTTCTGACTGACAGGCCTCCAAGTTTCGCAGTGATATTCAGGATCAACTCCCAATTCCAAGACCCCAAGAGCAAACGTTAACGTTCTTAAAACTGTGCCAATTTTAGCGACTAGGTCTACCTAAAATTCATGGGGAAAAACTTTCCTGTGGGCGCAAGCTGTTTTCATTTATTACATACAGGACAAATAAAAGTACCTCTTTCGAAGCAGCATTTTTCAATAAATCTTTGTACGAGAAGAAAAACCTGCTTTGGCATTAAATATGTATTTCAACTCTCATGTTTATAAAGTATAACTTGTTGAACTCCAAATAAAAAATGTCACAGATTCCGCAAGATCTTTCACATATTTTGATGCTTTAGCTATTTGCATAACTGCACTATATAAAACAGGAAGGATAAATTATTTTTTTTCAATCATCTGCTTCCCTATGTAAGCAAATAATGACTTGTCTCCAAACCTAAAGAATTTAAGAACATCTGTATATGATAAGATTTTAAACATGGACAAACCATATCAAATACGGAGCTCAACGGTCAGCATTTGATTTTTGTTCGAGAATTTTTCACTCCTATATAGACGCCATGGCTTGCTGATGGAAGGCTGCAAATTTAGACATGTCATTATTCGGCAAACAGTTTTCACGATGTAAGGGGTCATTTTTCTACCAACACTTACCTTAACACTGAATCTGGGCTTATACGGTCTCCTCTTAAGGATCGAGATCGGTCTCTACATTCCATATTCGGACTCGAACCCACCACGACTCCTTACTTTAGCGCAAAGGCTCTAATCACTGCGACATCATTGGATTTATGAAAGTTAACACTAATTGTTTTCCTCATCCTTCTTACCATGTACTTGGTAATGTACATGGGTAGCAATTAAACATGAATTATATTTATTATTTGAAGCTCTTTATTAAACCTTTACTATAAGTAAAAATTGCAATTAAACATGCTCCTATATTAAAATCAGATTTTAAAAAGTTCTTTGGTTCAAATATAAAATTTAACCTTTTGATTTCTGTCTCCCATTGCTTTTGTTATTGCTCTGTCATCCATTTATAAATGCAGAAAAGAAAATTCCTGTTTATTTTAAAAATATATACATTATTTATATATAATAAGCCCGAGTCTTGTTTCTTGTTTTATACAGGGACAAAGATATCATATTATGATAATCATAGCTCGACTGGATATTCTGAGGTAAAATTAAATCAGTTCTTAAATTCAATAAAACATGAAATTAATGATTTCGAAATATGTATGATTCTTGCTATAAAAAAAAATATTGCTTCCTGTGTTCATGATCTTTCATTTTAATATCACTCTTAAACAAATTTTTGTATGTATGTAACATGTGTTTTTAACATTTTAAAAGAATTTAGCTTATTTAAACCTTTAATTCAAAAAATAATAAAGTATTTGTCACACCAACTGCTTTTTATGCATTATTTGACTACGGAATGATCAATACATAGGAGTATAGGGAGGATGTAACAGATGAACAGGTTATTAGGCCTTCTTCTCTTAAGCACCTGATTCCACCTGCAGAATTTCAGGAGTTCCCTGATTATCGCCCTCTTTTGTAGTTTTTGTCGTTTGTTTTTTTTTTTTCTGTAATTTTTAACGTTAAAAGTTCTATTGGTATCCTTCTTAGATGGCTGTTTACGATGATGACAAAATTATCAAGATAGATCAATTAATGGCCTGCGCCAAAGAAAGCTTCCTGGCCAACATAGTACGATCTTACATTTTTACCATAAAACACAGCATGCTAAGATGTTCATCCACAGCTTCTCTCGAGTACATTCTGGAAAATGGAGCACCAAAGGTGAGTACTTCTCTTTCATGCAATGCTCATTTTTATATTCCTCATATTGTATATCAAATGCATATAACCTTGGTTTAAAAAAACTCAATAAATTATTTGCTGAACAATTGCTTAACCAATACCCCCGGACTGACTTCTTTATTTCAGCGTTTTGAGACCCCTGGAAGTGGATTCTGCATCACTACACCGTATCAAACAATTCAATCTATTTTCGTCCGTTGCATTGTAGTCACTGTACTGACTAGTGAGAGTGATTTCTATTTTCAGTTTAAAACAAAAGACTTAAAAGGTATATTACAATTTGAATACAATAAATGTCTATTTCGATGTTGCATCATTAGAAAAGATTAAATAACATGTAAATATAAATATATTTCATAACGCATTATCATTATTTATACTCCTCACGCAAATTTCTTACATTTTGGAGGTCCGTGTTTGCTCTGCTCCTATTTTGTACGTTTTATAATGGTTTTATGGTCTTTTGAGCTTGAGTACTGCTCGTTATCTCCATATATTTCATTAATAATTCTAGGCACCTTTGTTGCTGGAGATGCTGTGGTCATCACTGGATATTGGTTACAAGGTATTCTCTCTCTCTCTCTCTCTCTCTCTCTCTCTCTCTCTCTCTCTCTCTCTCTCTCTCTCTCTCTCTCTCTCTAACACAAAGGTTTTTGTTTCATTTTAATGTTATTATGTTATTGAACTTGAAGGCTGTTATTTTCAGAACCATATACACAATATTTTACAACAGGAACAGATATTGTTTCTTCCGAAAATGTCACAAAGTTAGATGTTAATACGACTTTAAATGATTTAATGACAACCACTGTAATATCTTCAAATCATACTGAAACCACATTGGAGACTGGGTCTACAGGTTACATACCAGATAGCACAAGCTCGTCAGACAAAATAACAACTACCTCAGAGGGGACGGTTGTTGAAGCAACGACGATAATGACCACAAGTTCAGAAGTAGAACTTTCTTCTGTCACAACATCTACGTCTGAGCCTTCAAGTACAGCTGCAGTGATCACGGCATACCAAAATAATACTGAAGAATACTTAAATAGTACTCTGAGTACAGGATTATATACAACAGAATACAATAACGTAGATAACTTTAGCACGCAGGTAGGTCATATATTATCATTTTAGCTGATATTATAATCTATACATCTCCAATAAACTCAGACTAATTGCAAAGATTAATTTTAATCGTTCTTACACTTATGATTATGTTTCATAAAAAAGATCACCGATTTTTCTTTGTCATTGGTTTATATTCAGCAATTCTCATTTTAAAATGTTACTAAGATTGATTTCGTTTTTATCTTGTTTTTTAATAAGATGATAATCTTTAAGTAGCCAGAAGAACATCTATATATCATATTATCTCTCGGGTTTAATTAAAACAAATATACAAATAATTTGTTTTCCTTTCTCTTTGTCCTTTTATTTTTATCAAGTATCATTATGAAGGCTTCATTGGAAAAAAAATTACGAGAATTTTCAGTCCAGTAAAAAATTATTGGCTTACCTTCTGTGCACATATTTTATATTAACAGACAACATTAGAAGAGGAAACCATACTCGTTGGATTTTGTGTCTGTAAATGTACCGGATCAGGTTACAAATGGACAGAGGAAGAACTGGCTGATAGAATACTCCAAAGAAAAATAGAGACTCAGCTGATTAAAAAGAACCTGACAGCATATTACAGAAGCCTGACCTCAGCAAATGACCAACGAATGTCATCTCAGTGTATAGGTTATATAGGATCAGTCATACTGATTTGTTTTCTTTGTCTGCTTATATTTTGTGATTTTCGAAGGTTCTTGTATTACTGCATAATAGAGAGACACGCCGAAAAACATGTTAGTTAAGTATTAATTACCATATTCAGATTCAATTTGTATATACATGTATTCTGGAGTAAAATGCATTAAGTTAATTTTTATAGTCGATAAAACGACTTTGTTAGCAAATATATTATTATAACGTCTATATTTTCTATATTATTTAACGTCTTTTTAATCTATACAAGTGTCTCAGAACGGGTGTGACCGGTCAACAGGGAATGCTTACTCCTCCTAGGTAACTAATCCCACCTCTGGTGTTCTGAGGGTCTGTGTTTCTGCTCTGTTCATATATGAATTTGTAAAGATTATTTTGAAATTGATCCCTGTTCGTAATCTTCACCTTTTTTCATTGTTTGGGAACGTTACTGATCCATTATAAGAAATAGATAATTTATATCATTATCATACTGCAAAACATTTATCTTAGTATTTAGAATATGCTTTTACTGGTGATAAAACTGAAATAAATCTGAAGACTTTGAAGTATCAATTGCTGTTGTAGGTTTCCATGGTCTATCAAACCTTACAAAACTATGAACCGCTATGAAGACGTTATTCGGTACAACTTATCTTGTGTTTGTTAAGAGTGGATTCCTGTTAATATAAAAGAAAATTTGAATCCACATTCAAAAAAATCAGATCAAAAGCATGTGTTCTTTTATTTGCTGAAAATCTTCTACATGTGTGTGAAAAGAAGGAAACATTTTCTGTGGCCCTCTCCTCGACATTTAGGTATAACGATGACGTATTGTCAATTAACAATGGTTATTTCCATTCATGTGTCGACACAATATATCCGAAGAGCTTGAAATAAAAGATACGAGAGAGTTTGACACATCTGTTTCATATTTGGATATTTTATCAGAAAAAGACGTCAATAGAATGTTACAACGAAGCTCTATGATAAAAGTGATGCTTTTAACTTTTCAATAGTCAATTTCCCTTACTTATGCATCAATATACCCTAATCGTCTGCATATCGGGTTTTCATCTCTGAGTTGATTCGATACGCAAGAGTATTCTCCAGCTTTGAACAATTTCTAAAACGGCAAACAATTTTATAAAACAAGAATAAAAACAATGTCGTTTAAAGTTTTAATTTCGTAAGTTTCATGGTCGATACAATGACATTGTCAGCAAACATATATACATCAAACTATCATTAAGGTAAATGCTCACTGACGTTTTTCATACTAATTGTGACCATGGCTTACACACTATATTGTCAAAGGATTTTTCCGTTAATTCCCGATCATGTCGATAAACACACAGTATGTATGACTGGTCGGCAAGAGGATGCTCACTCCTCCATGGCACCTGATCCCACCTCTGTTTAGGAGGTCCGCGTTTGCTCTGCTCCTATGTTGTATTGTTTTATGAGTTTTTGATCTTGAATACTGTTCGTTATCTCCATATGTTTCATGAAGGCAAATGACAAAGCTAAGGAACTGTGATCGATCTAAAAAAATCTTATGTGAAGAGGACATAAAACACGGATCCCTGGAAATTCAACACGTGGGATCAGGTGCTCAAGATAAGTAAACAGTCCGTGTTAAAAATCAAACGTCTTTTAATTGATTCGAAAAAAAGTCAGCAGGAATGAGACAAAATATATGTATTTTATATTTGCTAATAAGGTTATTATAACGACCATTAAATGTACGAAATGCCAACTTTAAATGAGAATGTTGATATCCATGTAACACAAACTTATCAGTGAGTAGCATGCCTCTATTTAAAAACTGATCCTACTCAAAGAAAGCTTTTGAGTAGGGAATAAGTTTGGAGAGATTTATATGAAGAAGGATATGAAAAAAACGAACAGTATTCAATATCAACGTCCATAAAACAATACAAAATAGGAGCAGAGCAAACACGGACCTCCGAAACATCAGAGGTTGGATCAGGTGCCATGGAGGAGTGAGCATTCCCTGCTGACCGGTCACACAAGGTGTGCTCCTTGTCGTGTTCGGGAAATAACGGAAAAATTCGTCGTCAATTCAATGTATAAATAATGGACTAACAATTAATATAAAAACGTCAGTCAGCATTTGACTTAATGATAAAATGATAAACATCATGAGTTGGTGATAGTGGACTATAACTACATAGATAAGAAAAGTTGAGGTCTTCTCGTTTGCCATACAATCTGTTGTTAACTGGCCTTACACGTGTTTAAGCAGTAAACATCTTAATATAAATCAGATGTGGCAGACTCTTTGGTGTCTTTTATTTCAAGTTCACTGGGATATATCGAGAAGGCATAATACGAATAAGAATAGCTATCGTTAATTAATGAAACAACGTGGATATATCTGAAGGTTTGAATTGAGGGTCAAATGTAGTATTCTCCGCTTGTTATGAAGAAGTTTTGAAGTATTTTTTTCTTCATTGGAATATTTGCATCAGGTCGGCAAATAAAGGAACACAATTAGTATACAGATTTTTGTTATATAATATTTTGACTTGCATGTATCATTTATGTACATTTTTAACATTTTAATTTGTTGTTAAAGCAACGGATAACTCATTTCCTTGTTTGTGTTAGAAGGCTCAGGCCTAGGCTGACGTGACCATCTGATTTGTTGTCTTGATTGTCAATGATTTGAATCGTAATTTTTTTTTTATTGAAATTGCTTTTAAGTGATAGAGGTCACTTTCTTTCATTATTGCTTTATTCGACTTTAAGGAGAAGTTGATAGATAGCAATCCTTTATCTTATTTATGATAATATCAATTTTGTCAGACACGTTTTGCTGTATTCCTTAGATTTCTCCACTTGTGTTTCAACATATTAAAATGACTTTTTAATCTTCACATCATGATTTACAGTAATTGATCGACAAACAAAATCATAAAAGATAGTTCAAATCAAACAACAATAATTCAGTGTATGTTCCAGTCGTGTAATTTATCCATTAATTATGTGTTTTGTACAAAAGTCTTTTGCCCAAAAGAGACGTTTATACAGTCCAAGTACTAGTCTTCTTTCCTAAAGAGATTCATTAAACATTCAGACAGCAAATAATTTAGTAATGAAAATTTATTATTATTGACATTTATATGTACGTTTTTTTTCTTTTTGGGGCATTTTATTCATTTATCATCCAATAAATAGAGGTCAGAGGCAAAATCTGTTGCATTTTCAACAGAGCTAGGAAGATGTATGTGCGTCTTAGTTCAACAATGGTAATTAAAGTTTACTTGAGAATGGAATGCTCCAAAAATGTACTGTAGATTCATCATTGTAGTTGATAAGTTGAAATTAAAGAAAAAATATTTAAGAAAATTATTAATAGGTCACATTTAATAGCCAACGTGAAGGAATGCTTTCTAAGGTTAATCAAGTTAGGGGTCATGGTTCTTAGAGATTGGGATAAGTCTAGATCTTTTTCTTTGATGTATAAATTTATAATACTAGAAAATACTACCTTGAGACGATTGAAAAGCATTCTTTCATTATTGTTCTAATACGGAGTTATTTTTTCAATGTCAATCTTATAAATATTAGCAATGGAAATAATTAAATTCAACGAGGAAATAATTAAATTTAAGAAGGTTAGTTCCGTCATAATATGCCTGTAACATTAATCACAGAGGAATATTTACAGCACTGAATACCAACGCTTCTTGAGGTTGTATAGACACGACCTTGAGAGAGGGGTTGTTTTGTATTATTATGTTCACAAACAAACAAGTGCAATAATCTTTAATCTTCAAAATCTGCATAATTTTTTTTTGAAATCCCAAATCATTTGAAATGAAAAAGGGAAAGCACCTAAAATGTTCTACCGAACACCTGACGATCTGTTTTCGTTGCACCATATCAAAGAATCGTTATCATTTTCGTTAAGTTATACAATGTACCATGAACACATGGAAAGTACAATTAACATATTGAAACATGTCCTATAAAATAAGAAAAAATCCTTGTTTGTTTCATCATTTTTTTAAATTTTCAAAAGCATTTAATACCCTTGTATAATGTATACCAAATGAGCTTAAAACTGAATATTTTAGAAGAATCTTTAAAAAATGGTAAAATATGTTGAAAATTAGTGATGTTTTAAAGATGATATTTAATATAGGTCAAAGTATATCACATGTTCTAAAGTCTCATATTATCATAATATTCCCCCAACATCGAAGATAATTTCTCCCATTTTTTTTTTTTTAGAAATTATTTATTAAAAGAACTAATATTGAGAGCTCTTTTACATGCCTTCCGCATTTTCCTGTAGATAATATAATCGGAGAAACTAAAACTGCACCCACTTTATCTTGAAAACACGTGTACAAGAAGGAGTGCACAGAAACGCCATAATTTACGAGGTCTTGTTGTACGTGTAAAGTGATTATTACGTTACTGTGAGGTGAAGGCTGCGGTCTTCGTTAATTCAATTAATTCATTAAAAGTTACTTTCATAATAAACGAAAAAAAAGTCTTTATATTTAAAGTTGCTTATATTGTCTTCATTATCTTATTGTAAATGGACAGACCGTTTATTTTGTTTTTAATGACAATTTTGTATCAAAAATGTGATGTCGTCATTTTTCTATCGCCGATTTCCCGCATTTCTGCAGAAATACACCAATAACACTTGCAAATGAAGTTTGAGTCTCCTATAGTTGATTCGACATGCAAGAGTATGTTCCAGTTCGAACAATTTCTAAAATGAGACAGACTGTTACACATTTAATTAAAGATATCAACAACTTGTCTAAACGAAAGCATTTTTCAAATTCTATGAAATTATCAAGGGCAAACATGACATAAAATGTAATTTCACAGTTAGTGGAAATGTGTCAAAAATTGCAATAATATGGCGCTTAGTGAAGCTTTGCAATGCAACGTTTAATTTGGTAAATTATTGCATGAATAGTTAACATTTTCAACAGCTTATTGATAAAATTCTTGCATTAAGCGGCGATTTAACATTAGTGTTTGAAATGTAAACTATTAATTTAATGAGTTATAATATTAAGCGTTGCATTGCAACGTTAAATAATATTTCTATAATTAAGCTGGGTTTTGTGAGTAGCGGCTGCTACAGCGCACCAAATTATTTTGCAATAATGTGTAAGGAGGGGTATAAATCCTGTTCAGAGAAGAAAGAGATGAAAACGATGAAACGACACAATGATTGTCTCAGACACAGAGTTCTAACTGGTGAAAGAGGTTCAAAGATGACTCTAAACACTGCGCAACGAAGGCGAATTTACAGGAAATAAAAGACAAAAAAGGAAAATATATCTGTTTTATATTTGGATGTTTTACTTTCTTTAGTCAGTATGGGTAAATTAACGCCTTAAGTGGACAACAAATGATCGATGTTGCCTCAGATTGCCGAAAAATGATATCTCTGTCCGATTAATTTTAAACACGCTATTTGCAAATAAACTGATTAACGGGGATTCAAAAGACTTTGTTTAAAGTCAGCAATTCATTTGTAATAATGATCTAATGTGCAAATATAACCGATCATTCGGTCATATTTTTCTGCGTGTTTAACATCAATTTTTAGGCCTTTTTTATATTAGATTTGACTACGAAATATTTAAATAAATTTATCTGATCAATATGCCAGGGTTATGGTGGATTTTGCTGTTTGGCAGAAAATGTATACCCCTCATAGGCACCTGATTCCATCCCTGAAGTTTCCGGGGGTCCTTTGGTATATGTTAAATGTTTACAGATATGTATTACTTGTAGCTTTCTTAATCAATCACTTTTTGTTACCTTCACATTTTTAATTCGTTATAGAATGCAAGATCCAATTTCAAATGCATTTATGTAAATTGCAATTACTAGTAATTATGACGTTTTTCATAAATATGATCTCAAAGAGAACTTTGTTTTTTATGTTAATTTACTGAAGAAATGTTGTATTTACCGAGTTTATAAATAGTAATATTATTTCTCTTGCAAAATATGTGTTGTACATGTATTCCTATAGCAAAACATTAATGGTAGGATTAAATGGTAAAGGTATTTTAAACAATTTTATTTCGAAAATAAACTTAAATCTAAAACAACTATAACAAAACAAATATATAATAAGAATAAGATTATAGTTTTATGTCTATACAAAGTTATTCGCTATAATTTTTTCCAATATTACCAAATCGAAACATCAAATACTTCTAATCATTGAAACAGATTTATTTCCATAATTTAATTGCTATATATCATTTCATTTTTTTCTATACCGACCAATGCTATTAAATTAAATTTCAAAATTTCCGAAAGATTTCACATGTTGTTTCTATACAGAGTGTAAATTATAGTTAGTTGTTATTAATTTTAGTTATCAGCGAGACTGCCAAAAGTCAACAGGATAATCTTCGTGGGGTTGTGAAAATCCGTCAAACTGAAGAAAAACTTTGTCCTGAAATATAATGGAAACACTATACATCTAAAAATATTTCAGTGTATTTTTGAAAAACACACAATTCTACGGAAGCCCTGGAGGGACATTGACTTACTTGTTATGACTTATTTGTTTTAACTTTTTTGTTTTGACTTATTTGTTTAGAATGTTACGTAGCTAGTTATAACTAAGTGTAAGAAAGCTATTGAAAACCTGTTGCTCGGCTTACTTTTATGATAAACATGATATTTACTCCTATTTTAACTGGTTTTAACGTCCAGTACAGTTGTGATTTCTAAAGTAAATATTATTTTTGTTGTTATAACTTAATTCTGATTTTCTAAAAGTTATTACTTAATTCTTATATGTAAATTCCAGTTTGCATTATGACTGAAGTCAAGAACGTGACTACTATTTTATCTTGTCGTTAGTAATAAATTCAAGGACAATTTTTTTTTCTTTTTTCTTAAACTATACGTTGTCTCCATCTTTCACTCCACTTTTTGTAAACTAAACTTGTCATAACAAATTCAAAATAACAAGAAATCAAAGTTAAGTCATAAGAACTAAGTCAAAACACACAAGAACTAATTCAAAAAACATAAGAAATAAGTCAAGACACTTAAGAAATAAGTTAATATCCCTCAATGGCGTCCGTAATTAACGGATAAAAATTCAGTAATCACATCAGTTTTGTACGTTTAACTACAAAACTACAATTAATCGTTCTCAATGGCTTACCTACACTTAGTTAGAACTAACAAAAAAATATCTCAAAACAAATAAGTCAAAACAAAAAAGTTTTAACAAATAAGTCAAAACAAGTAAGTCAATGTCCCTCCAGGGCTTCCGTACAATTCAGAATATGTATATTAAAAAAAAAATTTTTATTCCACTACAATTTTAAAACCTACCTAGCAAAAGTGTTTTTTTTAAAGAAAGATATATTTAAAAAGTTTAGGAGTTTGATCGGTCACTTCCATGGTAGGAAGCAATATTTTCAGGGGAGGTAGAGAACCAAATACTACCTGATGTTTGGATCCTGATAATGTTTGTTTTTTATGTAGAATCCTGTTGATGGCATTTATTAGGACATCGTTTTCGGAGGACACCATGCTTCGTCGCGAGTCTGTTTTTGCTGCATATCCTTTTCTATCAAGCCTTTAAAATTATAAGATTGCTTTTTAAAAATATATTTACATTTTCGAAGTAGTTTTTTTAAAACACCTAGCTTTTCAAATACTCTGATAAAAATTCAGATCCAGTTGTGTCAAGAAATTTCTATAGCTGTTCAGTTTTGATTTTATCTTATTTCTGTAATTAATCAATCAGTGTTCTGACTTACAAATCTTTTAGTTCCAACAATTTAAGTTCCCGATTTTTTTCTGTATTCATATTAGCACTAACGTCTCTTTTAGCAGCTACTCCCAAACATCGGCGAGCAAATGGATATACTCTGAAAAAAATTTTTTTTAGAACCATTTTATGATCTACCTTATGAACATAAACTGTATAAATGATTATAAGATAATGATTTGTCTAAGTAGACCATGTCATGTTTGCTGTTAAAAATACATAAATAAACCAATCTGAGCTTCAATAATTAATGTAAAATATTATACTGAAATGTACTAACTCTACATGAAATTATTTTATCCTCTTGCAACTGAGTTGGAGAGGATATGTTAGTGACGCAATCGTGTATATGTTTGTTTGTGAGTGAGCGAGTTAGTGAAGTACGACACGGAAGTAAAGCAATTTGCATCGGGATCGGTGTAGAATGCTATTTTGAGTTATGGATATGCTCTCTGAGAGGGGATGCTCCTTTGCAAAGCCCTTGTTCATAGTATTTTACTAATAACACCTTCTTAAAAAGCTAATATCGATAAAATGCTCTCTTTTAAAATACATTTTATTTATATTTATCTATATCTACTAATTTTAGAAAAATAAGTTTACCAAATTCATCTCTAGAAAGTAATTTTTCCTTCCCAAAGTGATCAACTCTCTTCCCTTTGTACAGGAAATTCGAAATACTTAAAGCGAGACTCATTATATAAAGTCATCTAAGCAGATCAAATTTCTATATCAATTTTAAATTTACAATACATGTCCCCGGCGCCTCGTAGTTGATCATATTTAAATCATCTTAACTCTTTCAGTAAAATATTTTTGGCAGCCCTTGATACTAGTTTATCAAATATAAGGATTGATCAAGGTTGTTGGAATGATATATTTGATATGAACGTCTTCAAATTACGGCTTCTAATTAAGTATGAAGGGGGCGAATCCTTCTAAATCTACTATTTTGGGCACTGTATAGAAAATCTTATACTTTAATCGGAAAAAGACAATATGTCTTGATATTGATCATTCTAATATGCGACTTTTTAAAAAGTCAAAGCGTTAAGGCATAAAAGTTGATTGCTTCTCAAAATGCATTTTTCATTCCTTTTATGTATTTACATTTTTTAACTTTCAAGCAATTTAAAATAAATTTTCTATGTTCAACCATAACTTGGTATCCTTACTAGCTGATTTTATTAATGTTCTCTTGCGTAATTAACTGAACGAAAACCATTTAAAATTAACAAAGAAAAACAAAAAAGTTTTATTTTTGTATTAAATCTCACTCGACCATTGAAATTAGGAGACATTAAAAGTAACCCTGTTATCCTCAACTTTTCCTGAAAGCTTAATATCTGTTTTGAAAGATCAATCTTGAGTCTTACTTCTATTCACATTTCAAATTGTACCGTTTAAAAGTTTTTGTCAAAATTATTTTAACTTCACTTTCTTTAAAAGTTGTCTTGCTTTCTTTAAACTAAAAGTACTCACTCGCAAAATCGTCGTCTTGGTCTTCGTTGAGCTGCTCCCGTCATGGTGAATAAAACAATCGCTAGAATTATGTTCTCAACTGTTGCCACTTGCATGCTCTGAAATATTAAACAAACAAGTAAACTTAAAGCTTCCATTTTACAAAAAAAGTAAGCTAAAACGATCCAGGGTCTTTGAAAGGCATAGCTCATGCAAAAATTGACTCTTGACCGTACAGTGTTGCGATTGTGATACCTTGAGTACGAGTAACAAGCTTAAACCATACAGAACAAGATGTGTTTGTGAAACACTATGCACCTAGCGGTAACAAAGTTCGAAAAAAGCTATTTTTAGCATATAGGTCACAGTCAAGTGAAATTTGACCTTGGTGTCATTTCAAAGAACTTGATTAGTAGAATATGCATACTAAATATGAAGTCTCTATCTTTTATGGTTCAAAAGTTATGGCGAAGGTTAAATTTTAAAAAAAACTATTTTTAGCATATAGGCCACAGTCAAGGTCACAAGGTCATTGACCTTGGTGTCATTTGAAAGAGCTTAATTAGTGGAGTATGCATATTATGGCGAAGGTTAAAGTTTGGGAGACAAACAAAAGACTTACAGTAATTAAAGACAGACGGACAGAAACAGACAGACAGACAGGTTAAAAAATATCTGGTCATTCGGGCGCATAAAAATTCCATATGCAATACTTTATCCATATTGTTTTTCAATAAAAGTGAAATTTGAAAAAAAAATTTGAAAATCTTGGGATTAAGGAGGATGGCCTGTCATTTTGTTGCTTTATAGAAAATAAATAATTAAAAATAACAATGATATCCTCTTGCGGGGTGAGCAAAGTCCTCAACACCTTTCTTCGGCAACTTTGCTTTCTGAGAGTAACGATTGAGAGAAACACAAAAGGCTTATTGTAATTAAATATTAGAAGGAAAGAAAATGTTCCTGCCACCTGTTATAAAATAATCTGGTCGTTCCCTTTCATTCAAAGTTTGAGATTTATCTCTTAACATTAATATAAATATTTTTCTTTTGAAAAAAAAAACATTTATAGAGTTTACTTTAGAAATGAAAAATGAATGAAATATATCCATCTGTATGTTTGGGGTATATCTTATTAAGGCAAGGGTTTGTCAGTTCTCAGTGAGCTCTTTATATTTTTAAGGAATACAAATAAGCACCAACACGCAAGGATTTATAGTCCAATGACAATGTCAAAATCAAGTACGTTATTTCTTTTTTTTTAATTTATCAACAATAATCTGTATCAAAAGTAGAAACATATTTTACGTAACATAGATTAAACGTTTTCTTGTTGGCAAATTGTAATGTAAAAAAATACAATTAAAAGAAAGAAAAAACAACATCAAGCAAATATGATGTCATCGGTGTGAGATTTTTAGATATGTTTTTTTTTTCAAAGTCCTTGTAACAAAGCAAACATTCATATTTTATTATTGAAATGGGACATGAAAGAAAGAATGAAAGTGTAAGTGGAAGTTTATGTGTTTAGGGGAAATCATGTAATATTTAATAAAAAGATTTTAATTCATTGTAACACTCCTGTGTTTTGATATATCCCTCTGATTTTTTGCGTGCTTCAGAATGTGTTAACACAGCAACATATAATATCAATAATCATAAATATTGATAGATCATTGAAATGAAATTTCATCTCCTCTTCATCAATTTGTTCTCACAAAAATGATTTTAAAATTCATTAAATCTTAATTGATTATTGATTCACCTGGTCTGAACTATTGCATATTTTTTAAATATACCAAATTTAATTTGGATGGCGTATACTCTTCATTAGCCTGTTGGCATGACATCTTTATTAAGCATTTTTGTGTTGTCAAACCTTTTGCATAGAGAACAATGAAACTGCAATATCTTTTACGCTAGATCTTTTCCTCGTAGAACATTAACACCACGTGTATATAGCCCCTGGGTCAATAACAACTCTAAGAAGCCTCTTCATTGACAACCAACGATAATTTCTACTGTCTCTTTTAATTTCCTTGACTTTTATTGAAACTAAATCTCAATCCCTTTCTTTCACAAGTTCTAGCAAACCATTCATTCACTTTCATTGTGTAATTTCATACGTGATTCAAAAAAAAAAATCAAATAATGCGCTTCCACTGCAACGCAGTTACCACGAATTACACAAATACTTTTATAAACCATACTTCTGTAAGGAAGGACGACTTATGATGCAATTGCAGCTTGTATAATTAATTGTGATCAATATCATGAACTTCTTTTCCGATTTGATTAACAGCTTGCAATGCATATGGTTAAATTTACTCAATTAAAGCTTTTGACATTAATTAAAAATATTCAGTTTGATACTGACAATCCTTGTTCTCATTTGATGTTTGAATGAAAACTTTTTAGCTTCGATCTAACATGTACCTTTTTTTAAAGCAATTTCATTGGAAAGAAATATAGAAAAGTTGCAGCTTGTATAATTACGGTGTCAATGATTGTCAATCATTGCCGAGGTTACAAAAGCCATAATTTATACACTTTTGTTGATTTTGCTAATTACACCTTTCAGAAATATTGATTAACAGCTTATTACTGATTGATTGGTTGAGAGATTTAGATTTGGTCCTCGCACACTAATAAATGCTTTTAACATTAACAAAAAAAATTATCATAGTTGTTACACACTTCTCGAGCGATTAGGGTTAGCCGCACTTATTGGAGAGGTTAGGGTTAGTTTTCGCATAATGATATCCCGGTATTTATATATACTCAGTTAAGACCTTGGCATGATGCAGCATTGCAGTTCTGCGCAATAATACTATGGCTTCATAAACGTTATAATTGTTTTTCGGATTTTGTGAAAGAAATCGGAAAGGAAAATTGATATATAATATAGTTTTCAATAATTATAAAGTGGGATGGATCTAAAGGGAAAATGCTACATAATAGAAAAAAGGATTTTTAAAACAAATCATTCTCAGAGGATACCCGGTGCGGAGCAACGTTTTCAAAAGTGAAAGGAGAGTTTAGAACTAACAAGCTATAAGACAAAGTAGTCTTAGAAAATAGTATTGTTCATGTAGACTCAATGTTTGATAGTTTAATTAAGTATGAAACAAAATGTATGAAAACAGTCAACCAACGTGCGATCCAGAGATAAGTTGTATTTGTTAAGCTCTCAAAATGACCATAAAGAATTACGAAATGCAGACTTTAAACAAGGTTGTTGAAATCTTTGTAAGATCAACTTATCTGGCTCGGTTTAAAAATGTGTCATACTCAGAAGATTTCTCTTGAGTATCAAATAAAACTACATGCATATGCAGGTGCCAGCGTTAACTACCATTCATGAGAAAAGTTGTCCGTGGAAAGCCGAAGTCGCCTTGTTTGTCGTGCAATTTAAAGGTGCACAGAAACAGATTTGAAGTTAATATTTTCTCAAATGTTCTGTATAATATCATGACTTATATACAGTATTGCAATATTTTTTCTCATGAAAATATATTAAAAATGTTATTTCATCTAAAAGTTATTGAAACTCCAAAATTGAAACTTTAAGATGAATCAAGATTTTTAATATATATTTTCGTGTGAATTGCTGTTACAACATATAAGTCGTGATATACAGAAAAAAAATAACTTCAGATCTGTGTCTATGTACCTTTAAATACATGTCGTTGTTGGATGGCCTTTGTCGGCTATCGTCGGTAAAATTTACAAATTATATGAAAGAGATGTGACAGACTCTGTGGTGTCTATTATGATATTTATTTCTAACTCATTTGGAATTCTCCGGGTGTCGACTCAACATACAAATGGAATTAACAATAATAATTAATTAGATATCGTCAATATATCATGATCATCGAGTTGAAAAAAACGAAATTAAAAAAAATATATTATAGGTAAATTACAAATCATTATTTTGTAAAACCTTTCTTTTGAAAATATACATAAGGAAGCATAAAAGCAAATTACATGTATAAATCATTACTGATGTATAGATTATACTTTTAAGAGAATATACATACTTGTTTCATGTTTCATACTTAGATATTTTACTTGAAAAGATGTTTATGGTTCTCTTACTACCAAGCTGTATGATTTAGGTGATTACTTTAACTTTTTAATTGTAAACCTCCCTTTCCTTACAGCAATATACCTTCATCACCTGCATACGGGATTTATATCTCTCAATTGATTCGATACACAAGAGCATGCTCTACGTATGAACAATTTTTAAAACGAGGAAAATTATTGATAGACAATTGCTGAAACAAGAATATCGGCAGTCTCGTTTGAAGTCATCGTTTTGTAAGTTCTATGGTCGATACAATGACCTTGTCAGCATATACTATTTATAATTGAGTCCAAATTTAATGATGTCGGACAATTTTAATACTAATTGTTAAGCTATTATATTCACACTGATTTGTCCATAGATTTTTCTTTATTTCCCGATCATGACAAGTAGCACACGGTGGGTGTGACCGGTCGGCAGGGGATGCTCACTCTTCCATGGCACCCAATCCCACCTCTGATTTTTTTAGGTACGTGTTTGCTCTGCTCCAAATTTGTATTACATGTATTTAAGGGACTTTTGACCTTGAATACTGTTCGTTATCTATATATATTTCATTACAATATCTTCCCTTACATAATGTTTTAATTTATTAACTTAAACTACAAAATACGAATATATATATATATATGCTACTGATTTATTCCTATACATTTCTCAAAGTAAAAATAGAAGATTTTTTGAAAACATTACATGTTATCCTAACAATAAACAACAACGACTTCTAGGAAGGACACTTGTAAATTCACACCCTAAAACTTGATTAGATGTTCAAGAATAAAATAATTAGTTCCACTGTGTATTCGTTATTAAATTTGTTTTGAAGTGACCTGCGGAATTTGGTGTTTATGAGTTGACTTCATTCATTGCTTTGTGGCCATTCATATTACACGTGACATTAGTATAAGTGGCTAGCTGATATTTTAAAAAGTAATTTCATTTTATACATTTTCACGGGAAAATTACTCTAAAAGCCTGTGTGAAGTTAAAATATGTGATATTTCTTAAAAATAAGGGAAATAATCA